TGTGTACACCAAGATACAGCTGCAGATCCAATCTTTATGAACTGAGCCAGGGACATAGCTCAGTGGCACAAGCGCCTGCCTGGCAACTGCAAAGTCCTGAGCTTGATTCCCCCTACCAAAAAAGCAAAACAAAAAATCTTTCTGAATCCACAATTCAGCTATTCATGTCAAATTATGTCCTTTGTTAGTATCTTCAGGTTTCGAAATTGTGTCATAGATTAAACATGCCTAAATTGTAAGCAAACTGCTACTCTACATATCCTTCTAAAAAGCAATTGTGGATTGAAAGAAATTAAAAATCAAACTAAGCAAGACAAAACTAAATTGTTAGGTAGAAATTTTCTACATGTAGTTTAGCATGCGAAAGAAAAAAGGGAAATGGATAGAGGTTTACCATAGAAAGGCACAATCACAGAGAGGATTAAATTTTAGAAAAGAGTTGATGGCAAGATGGGCAATGGTAAACTAGTACAGTTTCTTCAGAAAACAGTTTGAGGTCACCTAGTAAATTTGAGCATATATATACCCTACAACTCTGAAATTTTACTTGGAGATACTGTAACAGAGGAATTCTTACACAAATACATATGGCTCGTGTATGAATATTCATAGTTGTACTATAGTAATAGCAAGAGCAAAGAACAAAGAATAATGCTGGGAAAAAACAGGAGGCATAAATGGAACACTTCTGCGCATCAATATATAATACAGCCAGAAGAAAAAGCACTCATGTAATTGAGTTATCACTGACCTAGTCTTTTTTTTTCCTGCAAAACTACTTTTGCTGGAAAGAATGATAAACTATACCATTCAGATTTGAGCAGAAAGAGAATCTGTGAATGCAAAGGATAGATATCAATGATAAAATTCAGCCTTGCTTTCTTTTTTCTCTTTTTCCTTTCTCCTTCCCTTCCTCCCTCCCTCCCTCCCTTCAGCCCTTCCTACGCTTCCCTCCTTCCTTTCTGTACTGTAGATCAAATACAGGAACTTGTGGATACTACAAAAGCATTCTACCCTGAACTACGTCTTCAGCAAGCTTTCAAATGAAGTTAAAAGTTTAGAAAACTTACACTGACCACCAGAAGCCTGACAGCTTACTCAACATTAAAAGCCTACTTTGAGACTCACAATGATACTAATGAACGTGGTTTTTTTTTTTTTTTAACTGTGCAATAAAATGTGTCAACATTTGGAAAATCAGAATAGTTCAGTGAGCCAATATTTTCCATGTGATTAATCATGTTGTTAAAAGACACACTAGAGAAGACACACACAAATGGCAAGACAGACAATGAATTTTAATGCTATCGCATACAAAAAAGCCACTGACACAGCCTCAGAAAATACACTTTAACAGCTGAGAAACTATTACTCGCTAAACTTCACTACAGCACCAAATAAAAATACCCACAATTATCTGAACAGGCAATTAAAATATTCTTCCCCTTTCCAATTATATGAGACTGAATATTCTTTACTCACTTCAACAATATCACAAAAGATTGAATATAAAAGCAGATACGATAAACTACTGTATAAATTCAGACATTAAAGTGATCTGCAAAACTATTACCATTATCCTTGCTGAATTCTTATGCTCTGGAAAATAAGTCATTTTTCATTTGAAATGTTATTTAATTGGTTTAATGTTTTTAGAACATCTTACATTTTTTAAATTTCAATTACAGTAAATATTTATAGATATAAACTCTCCTCCCCAGGCTCCTGAAAGTAAGTATCAGAGTCTTTAATAATTTTTAAAATATAAAGAAAACTACTAGCCAAGGGCATAAAAGAAACACTGCCCTCAACTTTAGCAGCAGCAACTAAGTGTTACCTCATGACTTTTAAAGACAGGCAGCTGAAGTGGGTGGTCCCAGCTCAGAAGCTCCTGGGGCTGCAATAACCTGCAGAGCACAGCTACTTTCTGAATACTGGCTCAAATGGAGAGTGGGCTTCCAAGCTCATGAACATGGCTGTTGGCAAGAGGCTTAATGTTTACAGCCAATTGTATTTATCTCTTTTTTTCCCCTACTATCATTCTTTTCCTTCATGACTTTTCTTTTGCTACAGTTTACCAAAACATTAGGTTTAACCACCTCTTAGTATAAAAGGGTTCAATACTTCCTAACCCTTCACCACCAGAAAAGATAGAGGGGTGAAAACATTTATCACTATGTCCCTGTTCCAAAATGAAATATTAATTTTGATCATATATAAACAAGCCAGAAAGTATTAACATTAAAATATTTTAGACATATCATAGTGATACATGTGTACCTACATTGACAGCAGCACAATTTGTGAGAACCAAATCTTAGAAACAACCAAGATGCCCGTCACATGAGGAATGGTTGAAAAAGATGTGGTATTTTTATACAATGGAGTATTACTCAGCTATAAAGAATGATAAACTCAAAGCCTTCATATTTAAGTGGATGCCACTTGA